GAAACTTAGACTGCTTCCACCTTTTTGACTATCTGTACTTAGCCTAGATGTAATTGATACAGGTTCCTAGTTTCCCTAGGGAAGTGGTAGAAAAAGGGACTTAAAACTACATTAAGGAAGCAAAAAAGGATTCAAATAAGATAGAAAAATCTTGAACCAAGATACATAAAATCATTATCCACTGGTACAAGATAAGTGTGGAAAGGTAGCAGAATGCGGCCTTTGCTGGGGGTAGATGTTGGGTAGAAGTTGAACATAAACACTTGAATTTTATTTTATAACATGAGAGTCTCCATCCAGACTACCTTTTTCAAACTCAGTACATCTCCTTGTAATGTCTCTTACGGAGCTGAGCAGCACCTAGATTGGTATATTGGAGAGAGAGAGACTAAGGGTTAGGCCCTGTCAGGAGGAGAGTAGCTTAAAGGAGTCACACAGCAAGCACTTAGGGAGTCCAGGTAGACATTGTGGGAGATCTCAGCACTAGCTGCAGCAGTCTTGTTTCCATACGGCAGCCAAGTCAGATAGAAAATGCCTGTATATTCCTTGTTTCCTCCTTGCTCTTCATAGGTAGTAGCTACCTTAGAAAATCTATCCACCTACAAAGAGCACTGTGGCACCTGTCAGAAGCAAAATGTCTTTCAGTAACATTTATAAGAAAAAATATTTCTGCTCCCCCCTGCCCCTGGATGATAAAGTCAATAGTTCTAGCTATGACAATCTTCTTAGAGAAGTTGCTTTTCCTCTAGGGTAACCACACAATTCTCTTTTAATTACCTTGCTTAATAGCCATACACAAGGCTGGCCAATTTGCTGGTAAGAGTCAATTCAGTATTCTGTCCCTTGCCTGTCTCCTACATGGTTGTTTCTGAAGCTTTTCTGTCTGCCCTTTCCTCTGAAGTGTGTTGTCAAGCACTCCACAGCCTTTTAATAGTCAGCTACCCAATGCAAGAGGCTGTGAAGGCAGTGCAGTGGAAATTAACAGAATCTCTTCCAGATCCTGCCCTAGTTCTGTCTTAGCTGAAACTCCTTCAGGGAGTCTCCTGGTCTTTTGTCATGGTTAAGATAAACTGTAGGTGGATTCTGTTTATATTCAGAGCTTGAAGTTTACTGTAATTGCTAAGACTAGAACAAGTACTATAAGAATTCAGAGCCAGCCAAAGAAACTAAAGAGAAAATGGCACTAATAAGAGTTGTTTCTATTTCCGTATTCTATTTTGGTCTTGATTTGCAGACATTAGCTAATGTTTATTAAACGTGTGTAAGGGGGAGAAGGGTACGTGTGGGTGGAGGGGATATTTAGACCATGGCAGGAAATTATTAAGCTCTGCGTCCACAAAAATCCATATGATACCAGCCAGTCTAGTCTTCATATGTACTTTTAGACACAGCAGCATTTGTTTTTGTATCAATATATAGTGTCATTTTATTGACTGCTTTTAAGCAACTTGAACTACTAGACACTTGCTTCTACTTTCTTGTAATTTCCAAAGAGGTTTTCACATGATAAGGAAGGTTCCATATTTATTTGTATCCCAACACAGTGACCATGGATCAAGGTGAGGATTTGGAATGGACTTTTAAGGGATCAGCCACTCAAATTCCTATTACATTTCAATAGGAATTAGGTCTCTTTTGCAAATCTCAGGCCCAAAACTTGGATCTAATTTGGGATGAGATGCACTGTGTTTATATCATCCTCACTTTGGACTAACTTTGGCTTATCTCTGGCAAATTCTTTTTCCCTGACTGTATGGAAGAGAAAGTACCAGCCCTATTCAAATAGAGATGAAAAAGAACTGGTCTTGCCTAGCCAACTTCAGAACCTGGATGGAAAAGAAGATGTTGCTAGGATCTCAGTACATATTTTATCAGATACCCTTTTATGTTTCTACTAGGTTTGCAAATAATAATCTTATAACATAGACCCTGGGCTACAGCAATCTTTTTCTTTTCCCACCCAGACAATAGGTCCTTATTCCAATTGAATGTGGGGGGGGGGCTGTCTTTTTTCATTTAAGCATTCATTCCTGTCTGAGATCAAGGGAAGTCTTGAATGCATCTTAAACAACATCTTTTTCTGTCTTTTCAGGAAGAAATCATCACATCATCAGGTGGGGAACTACTACTGGAACCATGTGGACAGAGGAGGAACCCACCAGACTATAGTCCCTTATTTGAATGACTGCCTTCAGGACTTCAGTGAATACCTTATGCATAGTTAAAAGAGTAAGACACAAGCCGATAAATAGTATGCTAATGATCAAATTTTCAGTCACACAAACTGCCACCATTAAACAGTCTGAGAAATTACTATTTAACCTGATTTGTAGAAATAATTTATATCACTAATTATTTTAATTATGGATGAATATTGGTGGACTACAGTATCCCTAGATATGTTTTAAGAATGGTGATCAACTAGCATTGACAGTTAAGGTTACATTTTGATTGTTCACTTCTATCCAGGTTTTAAAATACAGTGTGACAAACAAGGACAACTATTGTATATATTCATAAAGCATTATATGAAAGAGTGTAGAATAGTCCTGCTTACGCACCCCCACCCCTTTAAAGACAGGTTTGCCAGTTTCCAGCGACAGTGTTACCAGTCAATCTTCTGTGGAGGACAAGAAGACAAAAGAGACAAAAAGACTTTAGAAACCTTCTGTAATTTGCTATCTTTTATTATTTAGGTTAAGCTGAAAATATGCCATATTTCTTTGGAATTCATCCTAATAAAGTGAAGATCATTCCTGTGCAGTCTAAACAAGGTCATTTGTATCACTGAATACTTTGTGGTAGGTCTGCACAAATGGCCTGACCCTTCAGAGAATCATAAACTCATAGAAAAGTATGACTAGAAGGGACCTCTTGAAGTTATTTAGTTTAACCCCCTGCCTGAAACAGGATCCTTCCTATCCAAACCATCCCAAGAAATCATTGTCTAACCCAGTAGTAAAACTATACAATGGCAAAGCATAGGACTGTAATCTGCCACAGGTAAAGCAGGGTGACAATAGTGGCCAATGTTCTGATGCTTCAGGGTTTGTTAAAGTACTCGTGACAGTTAGCATGCCCAAGATTGGGGACTGAAAAGCAACACTGGGTATGTCCTGGGAGCTAGAGCCAAACATCAGCCACATTTTATTTTTTCAGCATTTGGCATGTGCAGAGCAGGAGTGAGTAGGTGAAAAGTAATTTCATGGTGGCGATGGGTGTTCTGTAGCAGTGTCTAAGGCACTATGGACATGCCATGTGTGGTCCAAGCAACTGGAAAGAATTATATCCATACTAAAGGAAGGGGAAATGTTTGTGTGCTAGCTGATCATTTTTTAAAATAGGCTCAAAGGGTATGTGCATACATTACATTTAGATTGACCTAACTAGGGTTAGGTTGATCTAAGTGTGATCTTTTTAGATGTTCAGGGAAGTTAAATTAGGCAAAAAATGTCTGGCCTGATCTAACTTAGTTCATCTGAGGAGGTGCACTAAGTTAGACCGGGAACAATTTAGCCCAAACTAGTGAACATTGCACATGTTTGGAGCACAGCCTTTGGGCTGGGAAAGCCCAGCTGCTTTCTCCAGCCCTAAGCTTGTGCTCCTTAATTCCCTCCACCTTCAGCTATATTTAGTTCCCCAAGTTGACCTTCCCACAGACAATCTTCACCCCCCCACCCACAACAGACCCACCATTCTCCCTGTGGACCCTCTAGCCCCTGGGCCTTCCCCAATTTATTTACATCAGATTCCTGGTATGGCTCCCAGACGGGTGAACATGTGCACAAGTGGGACCTGATCTATGATGAACATCTGTATGTACCCACAAGGGAGTACATACTCTGGTGAGTACACTGTTTTTCTCTGTATGTATATTTTGAGATTTAAGGCAATGAGTTAATGAAGCATGGCATGCAAATTTGGCTAAAATATGAACTCAGCCATTTTATCATCCAAAATGCAAACCAGTCCAACATGTTTCCTGCTTTCAATGATGACCAAACCACTGCATGAGTTTCCAAGTTTTACTTTGCTGTAGTTCAATTTGCTTTCTTGTCTGTCCTGCAAGGTGGGGAGAAGGTGTTAGACTGATTCATGGTTCATGTTCTTTTATATATAAGGTAAACACATACAGTTCAAAATCTTGTATAATATACCTTAAAGCTTTGTCATGCATCTTTATATTAGAAAACAGAAAACATTAAAATAAACATTTATAAAAATGAGTAACAGAGTAGGTGCTTAGGGTATGCCTATGTTGTAAATGGGAAGGTAGTGTAGAAATAAACAACCTAGCTCTGCCTGAGCTAGCTCAGGCACAAGAACCAATTTAACTGTAGAAGCACAAGCTCATCAGACATTAATTTACCCCACAGCAGCCAGGGTTCTATCTTCCCCATCTTCCCTGCTGATAGATCTGTAGACATCCAATTTGTCACATAGAATCATATAAAAATGGGGCTGAAAGGGACCTCCAGGATGATATTTATTCCTACCCCTGGCTTAAGGACGGAAGTTCCATGTTTAAACCATGCCAATCAAGTATTTATCCAACCTGCTCTTAAGAACTTCCAAGGAAGAAGATTCCATAAATTTTCTAGGAGATTTATTTGACTGTTTAACCACTGTTACAAATCAGAAATTCTTTTGAATATCTACCCTAAATTTTCCTTGTTGCAATTCAAGACCATTAGGTTTTGTTCTGCCCCCTACCCCCCATCCCAAGAGAGTATGGTTAATCACCATCCTCTTTATAAATACCCATCAAGTATTTGAAGACTTTTATCAAAGCCACACCTCTGCACCCCCACGCCCACCCGAACCTTCTCTTCTATAGACTGAATACTCCAAGTTCTTCCTACCTTTTCTCATAAGCCATGTTTCCTAAAATTCTAAATAATTTTTGTTGCTCTCCACTGGAATCCTATTTTTTTACATCTTTCTGTAATGGAAATTTCCAAAATAGGAACTAGCATTCCAGGTGAGACCTCATTAATGCTGAAGAGTGGAAGAATCACTTCCTGTAATTTGCAACCAATAGTCCTGTTAATACAACCCAATATAATATTGGATGTTTTCCAACAAAAGCTTTTATTCAGTGGTCCACTATAACCCACAGATCCTTTTCTGCAGTACTGCAACCTAGCTAGTCTTTTTCCACCCATGATCATAGGAGGGACACATTTGAAATAGCTATGTACTCTTGGGCTAGAATCATGGTGAAACTTTTAAGTGGTCAGTTTCTCCATCTTTCTTAGATATGCAAAATGCATTTTGGAAAACGAGGGACTTTGTCCGTAGGTTCAGCTCCTGCCTCATCTCATCTGCCTGTCCCTTAAAATTCTCCCAGGAATTGCTATACTCCACACTTAACTGTGCCCTAGAACCGGTATCTTGTGCATTGTATTTGTCTGAATTAGACTGTAAACTGTTCAGGGTAAGGGACCCTGTGTTGTACATATTTGTAAAGCACCATATTCACCAGAACGGCTATATAAATAAATTCACATAATAATAATAAAAGTGTTTGTGTTATTTCCACTCTTAGTAATTGTTGAAATCAGAAAATTAAGATACATACTGCAATACTGTACAGAGTATTTTTTCTTATTTTAACATTCATTTACTATGAGATTGAACCCATCTGTGATTGTGATCAGTGAGAGGAAAACTTTAATTAGCTTTCCACAGTGAGACATTTAGCTGGACAGTTTATGTGCGATTTACATGGGTCATTGGCTCAAGCAGTTTTAAATAGTTATTGTAACACCTTATAAAAATGGTTGGCTAGCAAGTTAGGATTCAGACTAAATTGGCAACACAGTGTTCTCCTTACTAGTTAGAACAGCTAGGCTCATGGTATTATACATTTATTAGTCTCAGGTGCTATCTCACCTTTCTGATCAGGTCCATCTGAAGCGAATCTTTGTCTATCACCAGGAAACCAATTCACCTTCCTTAAGGGAGGTCAATGAGTCCTTAACATGGACCTTTACATGCCTGGGGATCTTTTAGAAACTTTTTGCTGTGCATAGGACATCAGACATGTTTGGGTTTATGTAGCAGCTGAGTAAGTGTTTTGAGATCTTAAACAGTGGTTTTCAACCTTTTTTTCATCCAGGTACCTAAACTGACTGTTAGCTACCAAATTTCTATTGTGAATATATCCTGCAGTCCTTCTGAACTTGAATTCACCATTCTGCGAATAGTATTACATATGCTGAATATAAGACGCATCATTTTCCAATTCTTTTGAGGTTTAATATATCTTTAGTATTCATTCCCTGTACAATTGTGGGTATGTCTCTATATGTAGAATTGAAGAGTTTGTTCTATATAAGGAATTCACATTCATAAGAGGTTGACAGTAATGCAATTATTTCTAAGTGATGTATTTTGTACTCCCTGTTCACATATTTGTACATAGGACAAGAATACTTGGTTCATTGAATCTTTAGCTCACCTGTCCTGTTGTGCCCTAATTAACATGTGGGAGACAACAGCATTTTTTCCCATGAATAATACATTTCCTCCTTTTTTGGTCTGCATCCATGCGTGTCTCATTTTTGGTTTTACCTGGCTTTAGAATAAATTCTTGTAAGTTCCCTTGCAAATGAAATTACTGTCTGGAAAACTGCAATTTCATCTTGAGAGTTTTATTATGCTAATAAATGTCAGAATTCTTAAATAAGGGAATTGCTTTATTCCAGAGCCCCAGAGAAATAATGAAAAACAGCCAGCCAATTCATAGAGTACCAGCAAACAAAAACTCCACAATATATAACCAGAAAGAGCAGCAATAAAATATAGTGCAACTTAACTGAAAATAAATTTCAATGGAAACAAAAGGAGATCATAGCAGGCAGAAATTAAGAACAAAAGCTTTTCTTGGTAAAGATGTACAGCTGCTGCGAATACACTGGAGGGTGGTGGGAGAAATACAACTGTGGAGACATTTTCCAAGCTAACAAATGCTTCTTTCTGCCTTCCAGAAAACAGACAGATTATGAAAAGGTAACCACTGAGCGGGAGGAATAGAAAGGAAGAACAAATATAGAAAACAAAGAAAATAAAGAGAGAGAGACAAACATGTTTATTCCATTGTTTTTAAAACTTTTTACTTAATTTTATGCAGTCCCTAGAGAAAACACTGAACAACGTTGTCTTCCCCAGTCTCAATGCTTAAACTGTGAGATGAGTCTAAAATACAAAATTCAGAGGGAAGTGGAGAAGTTGTAAAAATAGCCACCAACTACAGACTGCTTTCCAGGTTTTCAGTCAAATTCCAAGGCCTCAAAACCCACTCCCTTGTACCCCCGCCCGTCAGCCCCACCTTTACGTTCAAAGTTGTTTGGATTTGCTCACTTTCCTTTATAGTCTTTTGTGGTGTTTCAGTTTCCAGATTGCCCAAGTTTATGATATTCCAGCAGTGACCTTCAAATCTTGCTTTGTGATTTATTTTTCCAGTGGTATCTAATGTTGAGTCAGGGGAGGTACATGCTATGGATTTTCATTATGAGGCTTCCTGTCAATATTTCCTGTCAATGGGGCTTCTAGGAATAGACTGAGAGATCTATTCTGGTAAGTCCACTTTTATAGGATAACAGAATTCAATAATAATGAAAAGCTTTTCAATTTTTAAATGAATTAGACTTTCTTTTACACCTGTGTCATAGCAATAAAAATATAATATATAGGCTTATAAGTATTTGTGTATACCCTTTACAAAGAAGCTTTAGTACATTTATTATCATTTTCTTACTAGGACCACCTTCGCATATGGAATTTCTGAGTTTTTCATTATTTGTTCAATGTGGAGAATTTTCCAGTTTAATAGCATAGGTTTCTCCATGGGAAAGTGAAAACCAACCAGCTACAGCAAAATCCTACAAAACTGGGATTTTCAAATCTGCTAAAAAATTTGGATGCTTAATTTTCAGTTAATCTCGCTACAGTTATTGTATATTATTTATTATAAGTATTTGAATCTTATATTTTTTAATTAAAGCAGCACCTAAAAATCATCTCACTGAACTTTCACTGAGCAATGTTTGGTGTCACTGCGCTTAGAGAGAGATGTCTTTTGAACATTTGTAATTAAAATGATGAAGATAAACATTACTTTTGTATTTCTTGACTATAACTGAGATCTAAGCTCATTGAGTCAGTGTGGGACTCTGTATCAGTTTCTGTTGACTCTGAAGTAAGTTTTTACATCCTGAACCTCTGCTGGCATAAAATTAAGGCAGCTACACAGACTACAGTGAACCTACTCAGATTTATTCAAGTTAAGGATAATCTCCACATATGATCATAGAAACAAGTCTTCCAAGAGGCATGGAAACACAATGTGCTCTAAACACACAAGCCTGTATGTATAATAGTATATAATGGTGCTTTTTTATACAAATGTGGTTCAAAATCAAATTCATAAATCCTTTTCTTCATACATTTATAGCTCCACAGCTCTAGGGTGAAATGTGGCATCTCATCCTGGGAGCAATTCTATCCTTTTTTATATGAATAAATCCATTTGCATCTCTTGCAAGCTGAAGTCTATTTTTCACAGGTTGCCAAAGATTTACTTTCTTGTTTGTTTTGTTATGTCTCTTTAAGATTACATTTTTCCTCCCCCTGAGGATTGAGTTAATGATTTGATGCACTAATATGTCCTATCAATTGTGAAAGGAGGTGTTTTCATATGTTGTGTTTCCTGGACAGACTCTTTTTCCTTGGTTATATATTAGGCTGATTGATAATAATGATGTATAACTGATTTTTGGAGCTAATTTCTTGCCATGCAAGTACTCTATGTAATCTCCACTTCAAATATTTGCTTACTGTTAGTGATTAGCCCTGTAGCCTGTGTGTTTATATTATGGCATGTGGATAATGCAGATTTTCTACTAGGTTAGCATACGGTTTGTTTGCTTTTTCTTGGAAGTCCTTTAAATAGTTTTAACTTAAGGTTACATAATTGTATTGCATATTACTAAAACATTAACTATACACATTTTTTTTTCCTGAGGAGGAGAAACAGCTCCATAAAAGATGGGTCATATTATATTCCCTAGATCCATGCCCAAAGAAAACATGTAGTTGTTCCTTATTTTTTCTCCTGGTACCAGACATCTGGACTTATGGAGTGATAACTCTCAGTAGCAGGAGGAGCTGGCATGCAGATGTCCTCTGGAACTTACATATCAAGTTAACATAGCCAATATAGCTCCAAATCTCTCCAGGTAGGCAACCTGTTTCAGGTGCATGTGCACCCTTTTGCCATGCTGCTAATTTGCAGCGCAGCAGTTTTTTTGACACTGGCATTATTCATTATTAGTGAATCTTGTTTTCTTATAAAAGTGGACTTACCAGAATAGAGCATGCATTCAGAGGTGTGCCTGGGGACAAATAGCAGTGGCATAAATATGTGCTGCTGCTGTTTGTTCCATGCAAAACATATGCCTCTGCACATGTGTGCTCATTGGGATGCACCCATGGGGTGTGTCGAGACAAGCGTGTATGTGCCTCTTGCCCCACCTCAAACCCCTTTGAGATGGGTCAAGAGGCACGTGAAGGAATGAAAAAACGTTACAGCCACTGCAAGTTTGCAGTGTGGGGGCAAAATTAGACCACTAGATATCCTGGGTTCTAAACAAAATGGAGTTAAAAAAGCAGGGCTGGGAGGACCCAGCCTAAGGCTGGGTCCTCCACAGAGATGCTCTGGCTGCCAGATCATCTCTGTGCTTGGCCCTTACCCTGGTGCTAAAGCACGCTGCCTGCCAGGAAGTGTGCTTCAGCACCAGGGCTCCAGTGCCAGTAAGTAAGGGGTCGGG